TGGCTGTAGGGGACAGGACTAGGAGCAATAGCGTCAAGATGCAGAAGGGGAAATTGAGATTGAAGATTAGGAAAATTTTGACTATGATGGTGATCAAGCATTCAAACAGGCTACCTAGACAAACTCTGGAATCTCCATCCTTGGAAGTTTTCAAGAGCAAGTTTCAAGACCAGAGGCGCACAATCCCTGACCTAGAGGCCAGATCTATGGAGCCATGTCATCTGGCCTGCAGGATTCCCCACAGGTCAAAAAATTTGGCAGAGGAAGAGCAGTGGCAGCTGCCAAATTTCCCCTGCTGCCAAATATCTAGACCCATAAGGAATCCTGCCAGCTGGACAGCATGAGGCCAGGTCAAGGCAGTGCAGGGCCTGATTTGGACGCATGGGGCCCAATCCTACGTGCCAAACCCACATGGAATTTGGCCCACAGACCACCCTGTGTCACTCATCCAGCCCATGGACCCAAAAGGTTGAATACCACTGGGTTAGACATAGTGGCAGCCGGTTAATAAGGGGTGCTAAGCCCCCCCCCCGCCATTTTCAAAATGACACACAAAAACTGTGTCTGCTAAATAACTAAATAAAAATAACAGTATCGGTAACTGGGAGTATCCAAAACAGCATCAACTGAATTAACAAAGTAAACAAAAGTAACAATAATTTTTTTCTTGCCTAGGTCTGCTAGTAACATAATCAGTGATTATGCTCGTCCACTATGCATACACAAGAAAAAGTTGAGTATGTGCAGTAAGCCCCTTGGGGTGATCTCCGGTGCATGAGCTGTAGAAACACCTGAACAGTTTGAATGGATGGCAATAACCACTTGTTTAAGTGGGCAGCAGGGCGCCAGTACTGATGCCCCAGCCTGGGTAAAGAGCTGTTACCTAGGAAACCACAGGAAACCCCCAACCGTGCCCAGAGAGGGAGGGGAAAGAGCAGGGCCTGATGCTCTTAGTCACCCAAGGCTTGGCTCAGGCTCACCTTTCCTTGGCTCAGGCTCACTTTCCTTCCTCCCTCCAGTGAGGGAGCAGGGAGGTTTGTAGCTGGCCAGGAGCAGGGGGTTTGCAGCCAGGGAGCTGGAGGGTTTGCACCCACCCCATCTGTCTCAGAGTTCATTATCCACACCTGCTTAGACAGTCACTTGGCTGGAATGGTTTAGTTGAGGAGGATCCTGCCTTAAGCAGGATGTCCCTTACAGCCCCATTTCTCTATAATCTTCTGAAAGCTACAGCCAGGAGCTTGTGAATTTCAACTCAGAACGCCACTTAAAAGGTGGTGCTGAGGGTTTCCCCTTTCCAATGTGATACAGTACTTGTATCCGCTCCTGACAGGCTGTGAGATGTTAGACTCATGTTTATCCTTAAGTACATAGGCAGTCCTGTTGGAGTGGATGTTGAGTTAAGCATATGCGCATTTGTAGGGCTGAGGCCTCCATCATAAAACCCGACAATCATAGCACTGCACTTTTTAAAAGCTATTTCAGAAAGTTTGTGGAAGGTCCTAAAATGCTCCAACGCTTTGTTACCCTCATTATGATATGTAGTTTTGAACTAATGGTAGAAAGACAGAATTGTGACAAGGCATGAAGAAACCCATTATTTTAAACCCACTCAGATATATATGGCAGCGTTCTGTAAAAAAAAATTGTGGCTCCATATAGATGTCTTATGTGCATTAATTTGAGATTAATCTAGCACTGACTCATAGCAAAGCCACCTGTGAGCTACATGTTCACATGAAACATATGCCAATAATAATGCTAAACCAGTAGTTCCTGAACTTTTTGGTGCAAACTCATAAAAGCCCTCAATTTTTCTCACAACCTTCATGCTTCTGATGATCAAACTTTTAACTGAAAATACTATTATGGCACATGAGAACTGGTGGTGGCCATAGACCATTCTTTCAGAATAGCTCTTGAAAAAGAATAAAGCACAACATTTGTGTGTTTTATATTATATTATATAAACATCTCTGAAATTTTGTAACTGATATTGATACAGGCTTTAAGGTTACTATAACTTTACATGTACTTAGTTTCTTAAATTTTCTACATTTGAAAGCAAAGCATAGGCAATTCAACAGTTTGTACTATATAGTCAATATTCGTCTTTTCCTGCTGGTGTCCTTTTAAACACTGAACATGTTCTGGATTTTTTCACTCTTGGAAAAAAAGCACATTTATAACATTGTTTCTTATGAGAAAATTGGTTCTGAGTTACAATATTTTAACTTAAGACGTGGTTTTCAGGAACCAATTGTGCTGTAAGTCCGAGGACTGCCTGTACTTTACAAATATTAATGAAATAATCTTATAATAACCTTATGCAACAAATCTATAAAACTACCCAGTAACAAGGATGGTAAAAATAAAACAGACTTAGGCATAGATAACTAGGAAATACAGGAGACCCTAACCATTCGCGGGGGATATGTTAATGAATAAGGCACTGTGTTCATGAATGCTGTCTGCATTCATGAACGCAGTGCCCCCGGCAGCTGGGGGGTGGGTGCACAGCGATGGCAGGAGCCCGGCGGCAGCAAGCGCAGAATTCTCGAGGAGCTCCTTTAAGTGTATTTAAGATGTGGGTTTGGCATTCACGAACATTTGAAACTGCGAATGCCAAACCTGCAAATAGCAAGGGCTTCCTGTAGTCTGAGAGTTGAGAGAGAAATTTGGGAGATACTAAAATTCCCAAATCTGGGCTCAGACCTTAAAACACTACACCCTCTATCTAGACAAGCACTGTCAACCAGGGGCACGCGTACCCCTGGGGGTACTTGAACCAGTCCTAGGGGCTACGCACAGGTGGGTGGAGACGGAGCACTGACCTCCCAGGAGCAGGGCAAGGAAGGTTACACGCGATGGCGGCCACTGCCACACACCAGCCCAATGAACTTCCCCTCCCCGCAAAGGAGCACCGCTGCCCTCACCCAAGCCTGATGAGCTTCCTTGCCCTGCCCCGGCCCTGCTCCTGGGAGGTGGTGGTACTCCATCCCCGCTTCCCTACTCCGTGTCTGGCCACGCACTCCCCCTCACTCCTTCCTTCCCCCACTCGGCATCCAAGCACTGGAAGTACTTAGACTAAAAAAGGTTGAAAACCCTTGATCTAGACCATACTTAGCTCTTTAAGGCCTGGCCTACATTATACTGAAATTCATTCCAGTAACTACATCCACCTAGTCACACTTGCATTGTTATAGTGGCTCTGGTAACCCACTGTAATAGGTATGTTAATACCGTTACACTGCTGTGAAGTTCAGAAATGTCCTTAACACTGACAGACTCTAAAAAGTAGCTATTACTTTAGCATTCTGCTTAATTTTCAGGTTTGTTTCACGGGTCATAGTCTGGAAAGATTTTAATTTCTGTTGTAACAAACAATGATTGAAGTCACTAAAGCTGCAAGATTTAGTGATTCCAGAGTCTTAAAACCTGAAGGTCTTGTTTTCACTATTAACTAATCCATCTGTTAAATAATTCCAGTGAAAAACAGGCAGCAGTTTTGTCCCGTATTAGCAATAAAAATATAGTTTTTCCTTTGTGAAGAGACACCCCAAAGAGTTGGAAACAAAGTATTGTTCTCTCCTCTTTCATTTTCATTTACTTGGTGCATCTGACAGGCCTTGCATGTAACCAGCTTTACTTTCTACATTCCTGTATACAGGCATTCCTCAGACTTACTGGTTCCTGAAAACTGCATCGTAAGTCAAAAGGTTGTCACTTGGAACCAATTTTCTCATAGGAACAATGTAACTAATGGGGGGTTGCTTCCTTTAGGAGAGTGAGGGAGGGATTGCAGCTGGGGCTGGGACTAGGGTTGGGGCAAGCTGCCCAACCGGGACAGGGGGACTCAGGGAGAGAGTGGGGCAGTTCCTGCTGCTGTGTGCAGCCAGTCCAAGAGGGTACAGGGGAGCAGACATTCAATGCACATAAATCAGTTTGAAAACGGCTGAAACTGGTGTGAGATAAACTTGGTTGAATTCAGTATCAGACTTAACTGATTTGGGTCAAAACAATTTATGCAATGTGTCCCAGACCTCTTCCTGGTTTAAGTTAAATCAGAGACCTCCAGCATCCCAGCTACCTTGCAACTCTGTGCGGGGCTCTGCTCTCTGCTCCAGCCCATCAGGGCTAGCCTTGCCTTTCTGCTCCCTGGCTGGAGCTCCCACAGAGACTGCAGGCGTCTGCTTGGCTTCCTCCTGCTCTCCCCATCCCCTCACCATTCCCTGCTCAATTCCCCTCTCCCCTCTGCTAGCATACCACATGCTGGCTATGGTCAGCACTAGCTAGCATACCACATGCTGGCTATGGTCTGTGTTGTGGGAGACAGGAAAAAGGCAGACAGTACAGTGTCAGCTTAGGGATTTTTGGAGCTAATCAACAGGTAGCTGGGAATGTCCCTCTGTTCCTTTCTTGGAAAAAGTTGTTTAAGAAGAGCTTGAACTAATGAGAGAGCCTTTTGTTTTGCTGATGGGCTGATAAACACTGTGCAACTCCCTGCTGTGTAAGTAAATGCTGTGCAACTCTCTGCTGGCTCTGCTGGTCAGAGGAGCAGCGATGGGGGGGGGGGGGGGGGCCCTCCCTAATCAAAGCATTCTGCTGGGGCTGGCCATGCCCGCCTCAGCTCAGCACTGCAGATAGGGAGGGAGGGTTGCTCTAACACCCCCTGGCATCTAGTCTGAGCCACTGCAGGCACGTGCTTCCATTTCTTTAGTGCAGAGGGGATGTCTGCACACTTACAAACTGGTTTAGCCTAGCCAGGTTAGACTAACCTGCAAAGACTGAATCAATTCACACTCAGGCTTTTTGAATGTCTGTCCCTAGCCTTCAGGTCAGAACCCCTGCAAACTGCAAAGAAAAGAAGGAGACAGCAGCAGTGACTGCCTCCAACCCCTGTACAGAACAAGCAATAAGGTGACTAGAAGCTGTGTCCCCAAGTAGATAAATTGGCAGTGAAAGCTGCAGGGCATGTAAGGAGGCAGAAAGTTTCCTCTCACAGGCAGATGAACTGGAGCGAGAAGTATGCCACTAAGCACATCCAGATGACTACAGGAAGCATTTGGATTTCTATGGATGACTCCCCACAACTGCAAGAAATAGGAAACAATGAGTACAGGTGAAGCCCCATGACAGGGTGAGAAATCTTTTCACTTCCCCATCTGCTCTGCTAGGTTAGAAAGCAGCTGAGCTGACCAGTGGGCATGAGAGAGTTTCCCATTACAACCTCCACCACAGGATGGGGAAGACAAACCCAGTAGGCTCGATTGGATACATCTCTACTCTCTGTGTAAGGAAGGCATAACTGGAGCACTTTCACGCACATGCAGAAGTAGGAGTTTATCCTATTCTGAGTCCCACCCATACTACTGTCACACAAAAGAGCACACAACCTTTAGATCTGCAAAGAAGGGTGACATTTTCATTACAGTGATTTCTATTCCATATATTAAAGAAAATCCAAATTGACTGCATCTCTTAGAGTCCCTAGGGCTAACAGTTGCAAATATAAACTTGTAAATGCAGTATGTGTGTGCAGTCTAAAACAACTGCTTGGAGACAGGTGCAAATTGATTCCATTCTTCTCAATAAAGCCAACTGAATCTGGAGGCATAGTAACAGTAATTTGCATAAAAAAATCCAACTGCTCTTGCAATGTAAGGAAACACTGGATTGTGTAAGTAATGCCTGACTAGATAGTTCCAGTGCTCTAATTTTTCCAAAATGACTGTTCTTTGATTTACTAGTAAATTAATAAGTTTTTTTTATTATACATCATAGAGTATTTCTGATATGGTCCCTAGAAGATAATCCAACTAAGAAGCTAGGGTTTTTGAGCCTTAAGAATTAAGTTATTTTATTGGCTTAATTATTCCTAATTTTTACTCACAACCTCCATACAAGGGTGTAATATTGCAGTAGACATAAAACCTAATTTTGTCCTGGAGTTTCCCACGCATACATAGTAAATATTTTCTGTACTTATGCACATGCTGTGCATAAAAGTCATAACCACTGTACATTTTGTTTTCATTATCCTGGTGTTAAATTTAGCAGTTTGTTTTGAGATGACAGAAAACATACAGCTCTGCATTTACTTTTTAAGGAATTGCTAATTCAATCCTCACTGTTCTGTAAAAGAAAGAGATGTTGCAAGAGTAGAAGTTTAACAAGGGTTTGACATAAAATAACATTAAGCAGATGCTAGCTCTGATTACTGACATAATATAAATTGTTTATATTTTTTAAAGTACTCAGAATTGACAAAGTGCATACAAGGTTAGCATGTAAAACGTGTCCTACTGTTGCTGCTATCCTCAGCTCATTTTTTCCAATCCCTCCATTTGCTCATTACACCTGTTTGTTGCACCCTGTCCTATGGCTCAGGTCCTACAAGTTATTGTTGGATCTGTACTAATCTTGTGCACATAAAGACTATGGCATCTTCATGTTGGAATTATAACAATGACTGATTTCAAGGCACCTGTCCTCCCAGAGTAGAATCCAAAGCCTAATGTTCAGCGCCAAGGGTCCTTGTACTGTGCCAAGGGAAGGCTAGGTACCTCAGAAGAACAATCCCAACAACAAAAACCCTCATATGCTGAACAAGCCACACAGAGCTAACCAAAAGAAAACACTAATGGGCACACTTAAATTTCAATCCTCATGAACCACAGGTGCCTGACTCAGAGCTGCAAGGGAAATGCCCCTGTCTACATTAGAGCTAGATGCCAGAGTCTTCTGAGTATAGGCATCTACAGAAATTCATCACAAGAACTGAGCAAGAATCCCTTAAAGATAAAGATGCAAGACGATAGAGAAAATAGGTGATGCTGCCCATACCACTAATTTTCTCTGTAATACCCCAAGTTACAGCATTTTCTCAGGAACTGGGAGACCTAAGCTTCAGAAAGTCCTCAGCCTGATGGCATTCAGTTCCACCTCTCCTATGTATCGGGTAGGCAGGTGGGAAATGCTGAGTTTCAGTCCCTGTACTTCAGATAATTACTGCTTTTTATTCAATTACTTACTGTAAAATGCATAAAAAGTCCTGGTAGCAGAGACCAGAGCCTAGGACTCCTCAGACCTCCCAGCAGTGCTCTAATTAGCAGTCTAGGAGGCCACACTCCCTAGATTGCTTTCTGGTCCAGAAAAAATTGCTCTCTGCTGTGTAGTGTCCCAGCATCAACAAAAGGATGACACCACCCAGCCAAGTTATGGTCAAATAATTAGGCACTCTCCTGACAGGTGAGAGTTGGGCTTGAGTCTATTCTGTAGAAGGCCAAGACCCAAGTGTTCGCTCTCTGGAGGAGTGCTCTAATCACTAGACCTTTGGACAAAAGGCAGGCACTTCCTCCTCCTCCAGCTGTGCTTTTGAACGACAGTGGCCACGGCTGCTTTTTGTGTGTGATAGCTATATGGAGAGCCTGTCTACCAGACTGGTCTCAGTGCCTTGTTCCTGGACCTCTGTGTGTCTTAGGTAAGAGCTAGGCCAGTGGTTCTTGGGGTGATGCAAGACACCCTCAAGGGTACTGCAATACAGAAGCCACCACTGCTGCCATGTATAACTGCCCCACATGCATGCTCCTGCATTAGGGATAGCTACTTATCTATCTGCAGTAATTCCTGGTCTGACACTTCCATGTGCCCCCTCCCTTAATCCTCCTGGAAACAGAGGCACGCAGAACCGTTCCACCCATTCACCTCTGTTCCTGGAAACAGTGTGCAGGGTCAGACTAGAAAAGGCTGGAGCATGAGCTTTTCTGCCTGCTTTATGGTTATCAGAGAGCCCTAATGCAGGAGTGAGCACACAAGCCACAGCCCTTCCTGGTCTGGCCATGCAGCAGGCATGTGGGGCAGTTTTACCTTGAGGCAACAGCACCTGATTGAGAAATACTTATGTAAGCTGAGAACAGTGGTTCTCAGCTGGGGATGCTGCCACATTTAGAAAAGTTGCAGAGATGGGCCTGGACACTGAAAAGGCTGAGAACCACTGAGCTAGGCGTTCAGATCCTTGGATCATGACAATCCTGGGCACGCATAAAAGGGAAAACTGAAGGCACCAACCATCGTCAGCATGACAGGCACTTCCAGGATTAGGTGGCCAATAAGAGGGTTTTTTTGGAGTGCAGTTTTGGATACAGGCAACAAATGTCTGACTTGTTCTTGCTCTAGGTGCCCAAGTCCTTACTTAGACATGGCCTCAGTTCCTTGGGATCCTGGAGAAACACTGTGCCTTACTACAGGTTTCCCTCGATTTATGCGGTTTTGCTCTTATGTGATGACCCTTTTGTACCCGAAATTTGTTATATGCGAGGTAAATTCACATATATGCAATCAGCATAGGCTTGGAGAATGCTGCATAAATCAAATGAGCATAAAGTAAACCTAATTTATAATGTAACAAATAGGGATAGATTCCCTTGTTGGCTGCTTCTAGGGCTGCCTGGGGTGAGTGTGGACAAGTGGAGGCCTGGGCGGCACAGGGTGCGGCACTCACCCCAGCCCTGGCTGCAGCGGCCCTGGGAGCTGCTGGTAGCCAGTGGGCTGCACTGTGTCCTGAACCCTGCAGGGTTTTGCCTGTCCCCACTCACCCCCAGCTCCTGCTGCAGCTGTCCCAGGAGTGGCTGATGCCAGCTTTCTGTAGCCGCTGGGCTGCACTGTGCCCTGGTGCAGGCAGCTGGTGCTGGCAGCACCTGGGGCCACTGCAGCCAGGGCTGGGGTGGAGACAGGCAGAGCACCGGGAAGAGCCTGGGGTCCCTGAGCCTGTAGTGTCCACCGGCCCCAGTCTGCTCTCATCCGGCTGTAGGCAGCTGCCTGCCCCCTCTGCAGACCTGGGCGCAGCGGACGCCGGCTGC